GCTCTACGGGTATAAAATACTAAATAATTTAAGAATTAAGTATCAATAGTAAACCTTGTTTGGTTTTCGAGGGGTGATTTTCTAGCTCATCTACAGTAAGTCACTTTTGATGAAGTCTTGTGTTCATTTTCTCAAATTCCAACCTTTCAGTTGCTTAATCTTCTCGAGAAGAACATGCGAGATCTTGATGGAAAACTGCAGGAAGCTGAGAATTACAGCAATCAATGGAAACCTGTTACGATCGAGGTTGTTCAGGACCAGTCTGATAATATGAAGGTACTGTATTTTGAATTATAGCTCTATCAGTTCTAAACTGTTCTTCCTAGAGGTCCAGTAAGGATCATCTCTTATTGATCCAGTGTTACTACAGGAGGAAACCTAAACTAAACTAACTTTATTTATACTGGATAGTTCTATGAGTTCTAAACTGTTCTTCCTAGAGGTCCAGTAAGGATCATCTCTTATTGATCCAGTGTTACTACAGGAGGAAACCTAAACTAAACTAACTCTATTTATACTGGATAGCTCTATCGAATGTAACCATTCTCTTGTAATTTCTAGCGTTTCCACACGATCGTTTCCCCATTACAAGGCATGTTTGATGATGTAGATGGCGTGGAGAATAACTTGCGACGATGCAATGTGATTCTACCCTCGCCCTGGCAAAACCGTCTGGATGATCTTCACAGACGCTGGAAGGAACTTCAAATGAAGATGTTGAACCGTGAAAACACGATCCAAGAAAATATCACTGAATATGATATGAACATCACACAAGAACCTCTGCAAGGTAATCACCGCGAAAATTTGCGTTGACAGTGTTGTATTGTGGTGTACTTTGGTGTACTATGATGTACGTTGATGTACTTTAATGTACTGTGATGTGCTGTGATGTAATGTGTTGAACTTTGTGGTACTGTGATGTACTGTGGTGTATAGCGATGTACTGTGATGTACTGTCGTGCAGAGATGTATACTGCGATGTACTGCAATGTAGTGTAATGTACCGTGATGTACTGTGATGTGCTGTGATGTACTGTGATCTACCGTGATGTACTACGATGTACTGCGATGTACTGCGATGTACTGCAATGTACCGTGATGTACTGTGATGTACCGTGATGTACTGTGATGTACCGTGATGTACTGTGGTGTACAGCGATGTACCGTGAAATACATTGCCATGTACTGTTATGCACTACGATGTACATTGATGTACTGTAGTGTACTTCGATGTACTGTGTTGTACTGTGATGTAATGTTGTGTATAGCGATGTACCGTGAGATACTGCCATGTACTGTTATGTACTACGATGTACTTTGACGTACTGTGTTGTATTGCGATGTAGTTTCTTGTACTGTGATGTACTGTGTTGTACTGCGATGTAGTTTCTTGTACTGTGATGTACTGTGTTGTACTTCGCTGTATCTCACTGTCTTCCACTGTCTAGGTTAATAAAACTATCTGACAGTGTCTTACACCCCACAACGTTTTAACACAATAGTCCTAGGGATGGTTTTCAATATTTTATCCTTCATTTCTTCAACAGCGAGTGTCGTTCGTCCTTGGGAAAGAGCCATATCTGCAAACAAGGTCCCCTATTATATCAAGTAAGTTTGTAGCGAACATTAAGAATATATTTCAACACTGTAATAAAATACTTTTCCCATGAGAATAAAGTTTAATGAACGGCTTCAACAACCTGATAATTTGAAACCAGGAGCCGGTTGTTCGAAAGGCGTTCAGCTTAAACGGTGGATAAGTTCGCAATGGAAAACAAAATGATCTATTTATTGAACAACTGAGCTGAAATATTTTGATGTAAATAGTTTAATTTTCAATGAAAGTACACATTGAATGCATAAGAAGCAGGTTCAGTCATTCACAAGATCTATGAGAGTATTTTTAAACTTTGGCTTATCCACCATTTAAGCTAAACGTCTTTCGAACAACCGGCCCTAGGGCAACGTTTCTCAGATTCACAATTTATTTACGTGTTTATATTTGTGTTTATTTGCGTTTACCGAAATATTTGTGTATATCTGTGTATTTGTGTTTATCAGCCACAAAACGGAAACGACACAATGGGATCATCCGAAGATGACGGATCTTTTCCATCAATTAAGTAAGTATACGTCACCACAATATACAACATGACTTCGATAACATCCACCCAGACCTGATACGAACAATCTCTGTAAATTAAGACGCTTTTCAACCAATTTTTCGCAAAGAAAAGTCCATCTTTATCAACGCCTCATCGTTTACAGGGCCGTAGCTAGACCGCTTAATTGGGGGGTGTATATTCATATAATCATGTTTATCTTCCGTAGGAACAATAGCGTACAAAAGAAATCAGACGGGCATAAGACGGATATATGAATATACAACCCCCCCCCCCCAATTGAGCTTCTAGCTACGGCCCTGTTCGTTTATCATCGTGACTGAATCATTAGACTCAACCAGATACGAATTGCTAATGCCTTGTACGATTAAAACGTTGCTAATAATAATCTTGTTTTTATTGTTTAGCGGAGTTGAATGATATTAGATGGAGTGCTTATAGAACAGCTATGAAACTAAGGTGTATCCAGAAAGCCGCTGGCCGTAAGTTACGCCGTATTCATTTCCTAACTAAACTTATCAGAGTATAGTGTTTATTTAGCGCTGGAAGTTCAGTTCGTTTCTTTCGGATCTTTTTCTTCAAAATTCATTGCCTTGTTTTTTTTTCAGTGGATATGGTAGAGAAGAACGTTGTGGTTGAAGCATTAGAACGTCACAATATGCACGGATCTCATGAGGATATTATTGGTGTTTCCGAGATGGTCAAAGTGTTGACTTTCATCTTCGATAAACTGGATATGAAAGAGAAGGAAGCCATTGATATTCCGTTGTCCATTGATCTCAGTCTTAACTGGCTGTTGAATGTTTATGACAGGTAGTTACATCGCAGTCAATCAGACTTCTTTCTAATAAAGACATCTCTCTAATAATGACATCTCTCTAATACAGACATCTCTCTAATACAGACACCTCTCTAATACAGACACCTCTCTAATACAGACATCTCTCTAATACAGGCATCTCTCTAATACAGACATCCCTCTAATACAGACATCTCTCTAATACAGACATCTCTCTAATACAGACATCTCTCTAATACAGACATCTCTCTAATACAGACATCTCTCTAATACAGACATCTCTCTCTAATACAGACATCTCTCTCTAATATAGACATCTCTCTAATACAATATTTTTAGTGGTCGTATTGGGAAGATCCGTGAACTCTCCTTCAAAGTTGGCTTGATCAGTATGTCTCAAGGACCCCTGGACGAGAAATACAGATGTAAATATCTCACCTTGAACGACTTTAGATTAACTGTGTTGCCCTGATACTAAAATTGACATTGTTAAAAATTTTCTTTTAGATCTATTCTCTCTCGTGTCTGACTCTTCCAACCATGTCTCGCCAAAGAAACTTGGGCTCTTACTACATGACCAACTTCAGGCATGTGTCTCTTTTTTGTTCCATTTATCACCAGTCAAGTCTACAGATGTATAATTCAGCGTTATTTTTTAATTCATATTCTATATACTGTATTGGCTAATATATTTATCGATATCCGTTTAGATCCCAAAACAACTAGGCGAAGCGGCAGCCTTCGGTGGTAGCAATATTGAACCAAGTGTGCGAAGCTGTTTTGAACGAGTAAGTTTTAGCAACCATGAAATTTTACCTAAACTGTTCTTCCTAGAGATCCAGTAAGGATCATCTCTTATTGATCCAGTGTTACTACAGGAGGAAACCTAAACTAAACTAACTTCATTTATACTGGATAGCTCTATCAGTTCTAAACTGTTCTTCCTAGAGATCCAGTAAGGATAATCTCTTATTGATCCAGTGTTACTACAGGAGAAAATCATGTGTTCTTTTCATTTCTAGGCTAAGAAACCCGACTCCATCACTTGTCAACAATTCCTGGACTGGCTTGAAAAGGAGCCTCAGAGCGTCATCTGGATCCCAACTCTTCATCGTCTTGCGAGCGCTGAAAGTGTTAAACACGAATCGAAATGCCAGATCTGTAAAGAATACCCAATAGTTGGACTACGCTTCAGATGTTTGAAATGCTTCAACTATGATGTCTGTCAAAGCTGTTTCTTCTCTGGGCGAACTTCTCGTAACCATTACGTGACACATCCAATGCATCAGTACTGCCTTTCGGTAAGAAATACTTGCCTTCATCAACATATCGTCTATTCTATCCGATAAATCTACCGTGTGTGTTTGGGAATGTTTAAAACGTCTTCAAGTTTCTATAAGCTTGTGTGGAAAGTCAGAAATTTTTGCTGTTATTTAAAAACTTGATTTTGAAGAGAAAAAATGTGTGAAATATATAGTTAAACGACTGTGTTTTTGTGTAATTTCCCAAAGATTTAAAACTTTCACGAAATATTTTAACCCAAGTATCAAACAGCGAATATTTAACAGAAAATATTATCATTTTGTTTGGTCGAAAGTACAGCAAATCAGTTTCAGTTTTGGGCTTTTGAAAACAATTCAGTAGGATTTTCTTTCAAGAATCCTCAGATCTCGTTAAAGGCATTTTTCATTGTTATTTTCGATGTGTTTTTAGACAACCGGCCCGGAGGATGTGAAGGACTTTTTCAAAGTCGTAAAGAACAAGGTGAAGCCACGGAAATACAAGAATAAACCGCCAAAACATCTTGGGTATCTTCCAGTACAGACAGTAATGGAGGGAACGAACCTGGAAACACCTCAGTCACCACCCCCGAGTCATAATCAGGACATGCACAACAAGTTGGGCATGTTTGCAAACAGGTATTGTAAAGAATGACGACATTAATCCCACGTGGGGGTACCGGTCGGGATCTTTGGTGAGACAGCGCTCCAGTTGCTCTGATCTCTATAACGGCTTTCTCGTTTCAAAACATATCGTGATTTCTTCAAATAAGAGTTTTTTTAAATCTCTTCCAGACTCGCTGATTTGGAAGGCAGTGGGAGTTTCAAGACGCCTCAGAAGAAAGGAAAGAGGTAAGGATATGTAGAGATGTGTAGGGATGTAGAAAATACCCCCAAATGTACATAGGAAACAGCCGAGGTATCGGAAACTGTCGCCAACACTTCGGGCATTTCTGAAAATGTGCACTCCCAAGATTAACCTTGTAACTTTCGGTGTTAAAAAACGACCTAAGTTAATCGCATTGAATTAATATTGCTGACATATAACTCCATTTCTGTCTCTTGATTTGACTAAATTTTGTTGTTATATATTCTTTCAATTAAAATACATTAATATACTAACTATAAGATTATTATTTCTTCGAAACGTAAGATGTAAAATGTTTCTACATTAATGGTACTCAAACTTAAATGTGATTACGTTTGAATTTCAGTAAAGGCAGCAACGATGATTTTGATGAGCATAAAATTATCGCGCGGTATTGTAAGAGGTGTGTTTGTCTCCTAAATAAACGTAAAATTTAAATAAATAATTGTATGTTAAAACCTACCCTAATCATCAAATTATAGTACTTGATAATATATTATCTGATGATATAAAAACTAGGTTTATTGTATTTATACTGGATAGTTCTATCAGTTCTAAACTGTTCTTCCTAGAGGTCCAGTAAGGATCATCTCTTATTGATCCAGTGTTACTACAGGAAGAAACCTAAACTAAACTAACTTTATTTATACTGGATAGTTCTATCAGTTCTAAACTGTTCTTCCTAGAGGTCCAGTAAGAATCATCTCTTATTGATCCAGTGTTACTACAGGAGGAAACCTAAACTAAACTAACTTTATTTATACTGGATAGTTCTATCAGTTCTAAACTGTTCTTCCTAGAAGTCCAGTAAGGATCATCTCTTATTGATCCAGTGTTACTACAGGAGGAAACCTAAACTAAACTAACTTTATTTATACTGGATAGCTCTATCAGTTCTAAACTGTTCTTCCTAGAGATCCAGTAAGGATCATCTCTTATTGATCCAGTGTTACTACAGGAGGAACTAACTAAACTAACTTTATTTATACTGGATAGCTCTATCAGTTCTAAACTGTTCTTCCTAAAAGTCCAGTAAGGATCATTCCACAAAGATCTCCTTTCAAAAACATAGATGTATGTATTAAATTTGATATCAAAATTCAACATTAAAAAATGATAAACCCATACTAACTCTGCACGAAGTTAAAATCCTAGCCTATTGGTTTTGTTCTGCTGCTATGCCACGAACAAGCTTTTTATACAAAATATTTCACCAAATGCAGCCAATTATATTGTATGTCGTAACCCAACCGCAAGTGAGAACCTATTGCAAATTTCTATATTAGGTTATCCTATCCGAAAAAACGCCTTTACGAAATTGTATTCTATTGCTAATATTTCATTTGTATGTGTTTTCTAGCCTCGAGCCAGGAACTCCTGCTAATGTAAGTTTTGATCGAGAAATTTGCCGTTCATTTTGTTCAAAATTCGTCTACATTTATATATTTTACTGTACATAAAGTCTAGATTTCCCGTGCGTTTTATATAAGATTTTGTTTAGCTGAGAATGCTATTAAAAGACATAGACTGCGCTGTTTCAAATAGGCTGTAAATATTTCTAATGCAGTAACCAATGTGAGTACTTTAGTATTTTGTGTAATTCCAGCTGATTTTACTCATCAGTGGAAGAGTACTGTCAGTTAATAAGTTAACAAAAATATCTGTCAGTGTCTCTTGTTAACCCATTAGCTTGCAATGCACCCAGATGTGACCTACTTTAGTATTTTACTCTGTCTAATGTCAGATGATTTTACTCATCAGTGGAAGAGTACTGTCAGTTAATAAGTTAACAAAACTATCTGTCAGTGTCTCTTGTTAACCCATTAGCTTGCAATGCACCCAGATGTGACCTACTTTAGTATTTTACTCTGTCTAATGTCAGATGATTTTACTCATCAGTGCAAGAGTACTGTCAGTTAATAAGTTAACAAAACTATCTGTCAGTGTCTCTTGTTAACCCATTAGCTTGCAATGCACCCAGATGTGGCCTACTTTAGTACTGTACTCTGTCTAATGCCAGATGATTTTACTCATCAGTAGAAGAGTAATGTCAGTTAATAAGTTAATCGTAATGTATTTAAATATTGGAATATCTATTTTTAATTTAGCAGCCGCGAAGCCCGACTCAAATTCTGATGGAATTGGCCCAGGAAGAAAAAGAAGATTTGGACAAGACGATCACTGATCTTCAAGATGAAAACAAGTATGAAAGAAACTATTTTATGTGCCCAAAAATTCCATATTTAACAGAAAGGCCGTTTTCTTCCCTGTAGATAAACCGTGCTGTGATAATCGCTAAGAAAATTAACGTGAACTTTTCTAAATGTTTTTAATTTTCTCATAGAACCCTAATGGAAGAACTCAGCCAGTTAAAATCGTTGACGACGAGTCGCGACGATCCTCACTCGGGACAAGATCGTGAGAATGACGTCATGAACGAGATCAAGTTGCTACGTCAGCACAGATCACGTCATGAATCGCGTGTCAAAGTGTTGGAGGATCACAATCGCCAATTGCAACAACAGTTGACGAAGCTGAAACAATTGCTTGAACAGGTAAATATTGATTGGTCTTCCTAGAGGTCCAGTAAGGATCATCTCTTATTGATCCAGTTTTACTACAGGAGGAAACCTAAACTAAACTAACTTTATTAATATTGGATAGCTCTATCAGTTCTAAACTGTTCTTCCTAGAGGTCCAGTAAGGATCATCTCTTATTGATCCAGTGTTACTACAGGAGGAAACCTAAACTAAACTAACTTTATTAATATTGGATAGCTCTATCAGTTCTAAACTGTTCTTCCTAGAGATCCAGTAAGGATCATCTCTTATTGATCCAGTGTTACTACAGGAGGAAACCTAAACTAAACTAACTTATTTATACTGGATAACTCTATCAGTTCTAAACTGTTCTTCCTAGAGGTCCAGTAAGGATCATCTCTTATTGATCCAGTGTTACTACAGGAGGAAACCTAAACTAAACTAACTTTATTTATACTGGATAGCTCTGTCAGTTCTAAACTGTTCTTCCTAGAGGTCCAGTAAGGATCATCTCTTATTGATTCAGTGTTACTACAGGAGGAAACCTAAACTAAACTAACATTTATACTGGATAGCTCTGTCAGTTCTAAACTGTTCTTCCTAGAGGTCCAGTAAGGATCATCTCTTATTGATCCAGTGTTACTACAGGAGGAAACCTAAACTAAACTAACTTTATTTATACTGGATAGCTCTATCAGTTCTAAACTGTTCTTCCTAGAGGTCCAGTAATGATCATCTCTTATTGATCCAGTGTTACTACAGGAGGAAACCTAAACTAAACTAACTTTATTTATACTGGATAGCTCTGTCAGTTCTAAACTGTTCTTCCTAGAGGTCCAGTAAGGATCATCTCTTATTGATCCAGTGTTACTACAGGAGGAAACCTAAACTAAACTAACTTTATTTATACTGGATAGCTCTATCAGTTCTAAACTGTTCTTCCTAGAGGTCCAGTAATGATCATCTCTTATTGATCCAGTGTTACTACAGGAGGAAACCTAAACTAAACTAACTTTATTTATACTGGATAGCTCTGTCAGTTCTAAACTGTTCTTCCTAGAGGTCCAGTAAGGATCATCTCTTATTGATCCAGTGTTACTACAGGAGGAAACCTAAACTAAACTAACTTTATTTATACTGGATAGCTCTATCAGTTCTAAACTGTTCTTCCTAGAGGTCCAGTAATGATCATCTCTTATTGATCCAGTGTTACTACAGGAGGAAACCTAAACTAAACTAACTTTATTTATACTGGATAGCTCTATCAGTTCTAGACTGTTCTTCCTAGAGGTCCAGTAAGGATCATCTCTTATTGATCCAGTGTTACTACAGGAGGAAACCTAAACTAAACTAACTTTATTTATACTGGATAACTCTATCAATTCTAAACTTTATTCCCAGCCATCTGAAAGATCAGGATCGCGAATGACTCCAGCGTCCTCATCTGGTTCAGTCAAGAAACCTGGTTACCATGGTGACGCCACGGCAAGCGATAGTGACAACGATGGTGAAAGAAAACCGCTGGTCACAGGTTCTCGAGGTATACAAGACCCGGAGCTACGTGACGTCATGGATAAAATAAACACGTCCTTTCCGCATGATGGAGGTATGTCATTCACGTGATCACAAAGTTCAGAGACTTTTACTGGTCTCACTAACCGAACATTAGGCAAATTATTTCATGGCAAATCTAATCATATCGTCTCCATTTTTTAGGATCGCACGGAGACTCCTCAAAGCAGCCATTAATGGGCGAAGAACGATGATTTGACTTTGGAAAATATTTACACAGTTTAGTTAGGATTTAAGGCAATACGCGATTTTTAACCTTACGTTATCTGTCTGACTCTGTTCAATGTTTGTACTAACAATATATAGATATTCTGGTGTTAATGTTCTCATATAACCTGCTTAAGATGTAACACGTATAAAATTTTCAATGTTTTGAGATGTAACTCCTTTATAATCTTGTTTTTATAATAAATGTTTGCATATTTAATTGCTCCTATAGCTCTATCAGTTCTAAAATGTTCTTCCTAGAGGTCCAGTAAGGATCATCTCTTATTGATCCAGTGTTACTACAGGAGGAAACCTAAACTAAACTAACTTTATTTATACTGGATAGCTCTATCAGTTCTAAACTGTTCTTCCTAGGGGTCCAGTAAGGATCATCTCTTATTGATCCAGTGTTACTACAGGCGAAAACCTAAACTAAACTAACTTTATTTATACTGGATAGTTCTATCAGTTCTAAACTGTTCTTCCTAGAGATCCAGTAAGGATCATCTCTTATTGATCCAGTGTTACTACAGGAGGAAACCTAAACTAAACTAACTTTATTGATACTGGATAACTCTATCAGTTCTAAACTGTTCTTCCTAGAGGTCCAGTAAGGATCATCTCTTATTGATCCAGTGTTACTACAGGAGGAAACCTAAACTAAACTAACTTTATTTATACTGGATAACTCTATCAGTTCTAAACTGTTCTTCCTAGAGGTCCAGTAAGGATCATCTCTTATTGATCCAGTGTTACTACAGGAGGAAACTTACCTAAACTGCGAATCCACAATCTTCATTGTTACTTGACGTAGCCTACAATTCCAAGGCACAATTTAACCTTCTGTAGTTCCCCCCTTCTCCATCACCCCTCCCTACAAGTCTTATAATATATCTCACCCTCCTAATCTTTTATTTTAAATTACTCCATCAATGGTCAGGTGATCTCGCGCTCATATTTCAGCCAATCAGCGCTCAGAAAGTTTGTGAAAATAGAAATCCATTCTGCAGTGTTTAATCGATTATATCTTTTATCATTCTTGATGAAACCATTCAAAATTTTGCGATAATGTTTAGTTATAAGAACTATAGCTGTGATAGAAATTTGAAACCGAAATAAAGTATATTTCACGAGATATTAAGTTGTTTCAATCGAGAAATTGATTTTTATATGACAACTAGTCCTACTAGTCCTTTCCCGCCATATCAGATCAGCTTGAATACGAAACCCTGCTCTTTCTAACACCAGGGTTTCTTTAATAATCCATATTTTTCATACTCTCTCATCTGAGGCAAGCAAAGTTTCTTCTTTGTTTATTGTAAAACTTGCAAGAAACTAACACGAGGAAAATTGCGATGTCGATGACGTTCAAATTGCAAGGAAGGAAGCTTTGTTCTGTCACAGGTATTTACTGTTTCCTTATAAACAACTTGTAAAAAATCTGCAGCAGATTTATATTAAGACTTTATAAAATGTTGACATTGTTACAACTTGTTTACAAGCTTGCTGTGAAAGCTTTTCAATGTCAACAAACATTTTGTTTACACAATATTTATGGTTTCTTGCAGGGGTCCAAATGGTTGGGATGATGTATTGATCAAAGGCCGCATGCAGGGACAATGTGAATCCAATACAAACTGTCAGGGAAAAACAGCTGTAAGTTATTCACCTATCAGACCTAAAATACAATATTAGGTCACATCTGGGTGCATTGCAAGCTAATGGGTTAACAATTAAGAGATGCTGACAGATAGTTCTGTTAACTTATTAACTGACAGTACTCTTCCACTGATGAGTAAAATCATTTGACATTAGACAGAGTAAATTACTAAAGTAGGTCACATCTGGGTGCATTGCAAGCTAATGGGTTAACAAGAGATGCTGACAGATAGTTCTGTTAACTTATTAACTGACAGTACTCTTCCACTGATGAGTAAAATCATTTGACATTAGACAGAGTAAATTACTAAAGTAGGTCACATCTGGGTGCATTGCAAGCTAATGGGTTAATTAACAAGAAACACTGACAGATAGTTTTGTTAACTTATTAACTGACAGTATTCTTCCACTGATGAGTAAAATCATCTGACATTAGACAGAGTAAAATACTAAAGTAGCAGGTTGTTGTTCATACCAGGTTGTTGAAAAAAAATTAAAAACTTCTTGTTCTTTCATAGGAATTTTATTTCAAATGTGGGGAACATCATGGTAGAGATGAACAGGCGCCATTATCAATGTTGAAATCTAACATCAGAAATATTCCCTGCATCACATGCTCTGAAATATCGTAAGTTTACCCTTTCATTTTATGTCTCCTCCCAGAAATATTTATGCTTCTAGGAAAGTTGAATTTTTTAAATCCAAACCGCAGTTAATAGAAACTAATAACTCTGATCCAACATGGTCAATATTTAATCAATTTTTTTTCACTCATGCACCTACCTATTGTTTGAATTCTTTTATTTGATGTTTCATTTTAAACCTTCCTAAATGGAAATATCTATTTCATACATTTGACATTGTTCTTTAATATATAATTCCAAGAACTGACTCAATTTAAATTGAATCACAAAAATAAAAATCAGTATATGTCTGACAATCAACTTAGAATGCTACAATCTATTTCTATAACTTTGTGAAAATCTTATAGTTCATTTCAATTGTTCATAATATGTTAGGAGTTTCCACTTAATACCTTACGTATTGTTCACACAACAACAGCAGTGTGCCAGCATCTTGCTTTAGACATTTCTGGAAGTTCTTCCCAAGAATACCTTTCAAAGTTGAAGCCTTCAACTGACTTTGACAGCTCTCCTTCCTCACCCCTCCCTCCCAGGACTACAATGTTGTTTTCAATAACAACTGCAGTACATCCCCACCTCTTACATCTCATTGATGGCAGCATGTGACTTTGTTCTGTCTTGACATTGTAAATGATAACTGTATCTAATGTCTTGCCATGTTTGTCAACACCACCAATAACAACAATGTTGTCTCCCCATCTCATAGTTGCCATAACACTCACTTCATACGGCAGTGGTGACAACTGTTTCAGCTCATTCTTCTTTATATCGTACAGTACGACACTGCTGAGGTTGTCTTTGTAATGGTCAGTTGTACTTCCACCAACTATCAACAAATTATCATCAAATATTTCCATGCTGTGACATTGTCTTGGTTCTGGCATTCTCGATAAGGTCTTCACAGTATAGGGAGGAACAAGCTGGACTGACCTGATCAAGTCAGATAAACCATTTCCCTTATGACCTCCAGAGACTATCAACTGATCATTATACAGCACACTGCTGTGGTATTTCAACTTATCAGGTAGTTTAACAGGACAGTCACTCCAGTGTGTTGAGAGATCAGGGTTTGGGTCAATATTCATTCTAATCATATCATCAACAATGCCAGACCAACCACAACCACCCCCAGCTATAGTCATATGATTGTTATAAATAAATGAAGTCGCTCCACAACGATCCGTTGGCATTGATTGTAATGGCGACCATGTTCTTTGACGCCAGTTAAACATCTCTACAGAGTTAGTTCCAAAACCTCCAGCAACAATTATATTTTCCTTATCACCACTTGGTCTATTTCTTACTTTTCTTGTGTTTTCTTCTATCTTGCCCTCCATCGTGATAAGAACGTCCTTCATTTCATCAAAAGCTCTGACCAAAGCTGTTTTCAATCCATCGACTTTGTTGTTAACCGCTTCGTGTTTTCTTTCCATATCTGCTTTTAAATCTGCCGTGTTTTTCTCCATATTCGCAACAGTGGCAACGTTTTTCTCCAAATTTGTTATTTTAGTTTCGATTGTTATATTATTATTCGCCATTCTTTCCTCGATATCTGTCAAAGTTTTCGTCATTTCTCCGCACGAGTGACACTTCAACTTTCGGAATTCACAAACTTCACTTTCATGGTGAATAAGATCACGCTTGTTGACAATTAAACCACAGCCTTGGTTTGTACAAACGGCTGGTGTATATCCACATGTATCTTCATGGCGGTCGAGATGCTGCACTTCTACAACTTCTTGACAACCTCTGTCGATGTAAACGCAACGAATTTTCGATTCATTTAAAAAATCTTGTACAATTCGTGGTGCTTCGATCAAAGTCTCTACGGTCAGTTCATCAGCACACGTTGGACATGTTTGAGAATTTTCCAGATGTTTCGTAAATCGTAATACAACAACGGCAAAAAGAATGCTGGTTTCTCGAACACATAACCGGCTCTTTCAAGACGTTGAAGCAAATCTGACACAGGAAATTTTGATTGATTTTGTCCACAAACCTTTCTTCATCGTAGCCTTGTATATATGAAGCCATATTTCACGTCGTTCTTGTGTCGTAATAATAAAGCAAGTTCTGTGTTGTTTGTCGCTCTGTAGTATAAACCTCGCTGTATAGACTGAATATAGATACAGTGTTCGTTCTTGCAGAAGTCTGTGTTTGTATTTTTTCGAAATCTTCTCCAAAATGATCAGTTTATGAAGACAAATATCTCTTCCTTATAAAGTGTTTGCATAAAATGCATCATTTGCTGTCAGGAATTCTTGGAATTTGCTGCGGTGTTTCCACAAATTAATTTCAAAATATCGCAAGCTGAGAGAGAGAACTGGGACTGGTGTATAACGCACTGAGCTATGTATGCTAAGTGATTGGGTCAAACTGCATTGTCGAGCATTAGGAAACTAGATTTTTCCTAATCGTGTCAGATGATTTTACTCATCAGTGAAAGAGTAGTGTCAGTTAATAAGTTAACAAAACTATCTGTCAGTGTCTCCTGTTAAACCGTTACTTTGCAATGCACTCAGATGTGATTCTTCGTAGAGGTCCAGTTAGGATCATCTCTTATTGATCCAGTGTTACTACAGGAGGAAACCTAAACTAAACTAACTTTATTTATACTGGATTGCTCTATCAGTTCTAAACTGTTCTTCCTAGAGATCCAGTAAGAATCATCTCTTATTGATCCAGTGTTACTACAGGAGGAAACCTAAACTAAACTAACTTTATTTATACTGGATAGTTCTATCAGTTCTAAACTGTTCTTCCTAGAGGTCCAGTAAGGATCATCTCTTATTGATCCAGTGTTACTACAGGAGAAAAGCTAAACTAAACTAACTTTATTTATACTGGATAGCTCTATCAGTTCTAAACTGTTCTTCCTAGAGGTCCAGTAAGGATCATCTCTTATTGATCCAGTGTT